AAAAAGATTTAATGAGAGGATGGAATCAAAGCTGAACTATAATAAAAAGGCACACATGCTGAAAACCCAACCCAAGGGGGTCTGGGGGGATTCTCCCCCAGGAGATCTTTAGAAATACTAACATAAACTATGCATTCTGGTACACTCTGAGAACGCCTGCACAGCGTTAGAAAATCGGGCCTTCAAAATAAAAGTTTGACTTTCTCCCCCCAAAAAAAGAGAGAAGAAATTCCAATTTTTTTTTCAATTTTCTTTTCTTCACTCACACATCCGCGACCCACTCGAAACGGATCCGCGACCCACTTTTGGGTCGTGACCCACCAGTTGAGAACCACTGCTTTAGGTATACAGTAGAGAATGGGACCGTTTGAAAGGGTGAGTTGGAGACAAAGACAGAAAGTTACAGTAAGGAAACACCCTTAACTGGTAAAGGAGGAATTGGTTGGCAAAATGGCTCAATGTGATTACATAACGTATCCTTATGTGGGGAAGCAACATTGCATTCAGCCGTCGCACAAGTGTACATTAGTGTTTTTTGACCCTTTTGTTGAGTTACTTACTTTCCCATCATGCCACATTCATCAAATTAAGCCAACTCTGTCTGTTCCCCATCAAATGACTTGATGCTTGTAAGGCTGAGTCATCAACACATAACTTGATCTTGTTTGCTCTGTTATAAAATCGGTTTATTTACAACATTCGCGGTACAATTGTTGCCTGTAATATTTTCACATTGACGAGATATATTTAGACTGTAAGTGTAAATATGCACATTGACATTTCATTTTATCTCGTTGCATTGTCATCGCTACTTCCTCTGCTTTTACCACTCTTATTCATTTATTGTGTCTATTTTTTACTGCAGTGAGAGTTGCCATACACAAAAACCAACATTACTGCCATACTACAAACACATTTAGCTTTTATAAATTCATGTTATAAAACTAAATATCTAAACTGTAGGCTAGCTGTCTAATATTTGTGGCCATTCTTGTAGTATTTATTTCACCTTGCGTAGTTTCAAATGGCTCTCTTACATCTGTCCTTGGTCATTCACTACAACCTTGTATCTCATAATTGCTCTTTATACTCACACACACACCCACACCAACACACAGACATGCACACTGGTACAGCGAGTAAACAACAGCGTTTCTCACGGCTACCACTTAGCTTTGTCACTTTCCTAGGGGGCGAGAGTGGCACGACATTGAATTACTTTTATTCTATCCCTAATTGTTTTCTGCCCGAGGATTATTGCAAAGCGATTTGTGCAGAGAAGAGGAAAACACAGTGGACTCGTGAACGTCACCTTGTTTAATTTGTCGGCCTTGATTTGTTTGCTGTAAGTGTGTTTGACTGATGTCTCTACAACGGGGGAACAAATGAACAAAGAACGCACTTCTTTTCTGCGTCCTTCCTCCTACTCTCAAAGCCTTTTTTGTTATTTATTTGCGGATTCTCTATCAATGCATCCGCTTAAGAAGCTTTTAATTATGTATATTTGGTCTATCAGTGCATATGCAAAACAAGGATTGACATATTTAGTAGTTATCCAAGCACTATGCAAATACTTTTTACCTACATTTTGACTGAATATTCTGAAGTCTGTATAATTCTCAACAAGAGTCAGTGTAGCCCTGTTGTTGTCTCCCAGGTATCTGCAGTGTTCAGCAGATGCTGATAGCATCAGGGCAATGCAATACACTGTTAATGGAGTGCAGATGGCCTTAAGATAAACCAGTCACATCACTCACTCACTCACTCACTCACTGAATGGTGGGCACATAAGAGCGGGAAATGTGTCAAATTGTGTGTGTGTGTGTGTGTGTGTGTGTGTGTGTGTGTGTGTGTGTGTGTGTGTGTGTGTGTGTGTGTGTGTGTGTGTGTGTGTGTGTGTGTGTGTGTGTGTGTAAGCCATAACTCCATATATTACTTCAGCCTTTTTATGTAGAACAACATTAAAAAAAACGGATATAATTTTAGCACTTATCTCTTGTAAAACCATTTGTAGTGTTTCAAAACTCGTCTACAGACACATATCCTTTAATCAAGCTGCTGATGACTTTATATATACTGCACAGCACATGGCAGATAATCAGTCCTGTGTTGTCAACCGTGTCTTTTTATGGGCAAAAAATGAACACCGGTAAGGCATTCTATCACTGTTCTGACACCCTAAATTATTTATGTGTTTTAATCCTTGCATTGGTTTTCTATCTCACTCTTATTTCTGCCTACACTTAGAAGTTCATTTTCCATTATGCTGCACTTGCCACACACACCTATTTAGCGGCTTCTACTTTCTCTTGAGTATTTCATCTGTTTGAATCTCCTCAAATCACTGCTAATATATTCTCCTCCCAGTCTACCTCTCACCTTCCCTGCCACTTTCCCTTTTATCAGCCTCCTTTTCCCGCACTGTCGCTCTGTGTATTTCTCTAGAGACGTTGGTTTGTTAATGACTTCACTGCGGTTTGTCTCTCAGTTGGCGCTGACTGCGGTTGATTATCTCGCTATCAGCACTCAGCGTCAGAGGCATCTGAGTGGCTCTCCCACCCTTGCTGTTCAGCCGCGATGCGCAAATACCTTGTGAAGTCACACACGTATGAATATTAACGAGCAACAGCATGCTGCCGCTCGTCTTTCTTCACAAGCCAGACATAAAGAGTAAGCCTGCTCTATTGAAAACGATGCCAGTCTTTCAAATTGTCTTGGGTTGTGGGATCTGCAGGAAAGCTGTGTATAGAATGAGATTTGCAAACCATTGCTACCTCTTTGTTTTGTTGTGGAGCTTCATTTTCTCTGTGCAATGTGAACAGTTAAAATACACAAGTAACAGGGCTTTAAACTGAAATTGAAAGCACTGAAGGCTAACCATAAAACTCCATCAAGGCCGGATCTCGCCCTTGGGCAAAGTGACGCGGTACATTACAGCTTACCCAAAAAAGAAAGGGTAAGGAGGCTGATAGATATGCGCTCTAATTGCTTGTGGAAGTCTTCCTATTAGCTGGAGGAATCAAATCATGGGTGTGGGAATGGAGTGGCATTTTAACCTCCACTAGGCTACACGGTCAGCTTGTTTTCACTCGAGTAGTATAGCGATGAGTCATACAGAGAGACAGACACACTGAGCGGCAACAGTTAGGGGGCGCATTCTTTTGCATCAATAATAAAAAAAAAAAGCAACAACATAAACAGCTTCATTAAACAATTGAAGAACATTTCCCTTTTGCAGAAAACATATAGCAGGATTTGGAGCCATTTCAGTTCTCTGCAGTGACTGTGTGTAAAAGTAGTTTTCAGCATTGCTGTTGAAGTGAAAGTCCCCGGGAGTCAGTGGAGAGTTAGAGCTTACAGAGCACAGAGTATTGTCCCCCGGCCTTGACCAGTGACAAGTTATAGCTGCAAGGGGTCCTATAGAAAGAATACTCACACACACACAAAACCACATGAAATACACACATAGTTCTTTACTCTGCACCTCAACGCCCTCTCTCTCCATCTCTCGCTTACCACCCATCATTTATTGGCTGATGTCTCCCCTCCACTCAGCCATCAAAATCTTGCTGCTGTATCTATTTTTCTCTCCCCCGCCGCCGCGCCCGCCCCCCCCCCCACTCCCGTCCCGCGTTCCTCGGCTTTCTGTGAAAATCGAGCTGTATCAGCGCTGGTACGCTTCGCGGAACATTCACACAGCAGACACACACCACACACAACAGCACCCACACAGCACACAGCACACCCACAACACAACACACACACGAACACACACACACACGACAGCACACACGGAGGCACACACGGCGCACATCAGCGGACACACACACACACACACATCAGGTGAATATGATTAAAGTGGACGAATGACCTAGATTTGTCGTGTGTCTGTTTACAGCGTAAAACACGCATATATTGTGGGGGACACAAACACTCATTGCGAACAGAAATGTTCAAATGGATTAAACTGCATGTGTGCGTCCACGTGAGTGTGTGTGCATGAATCCCTGACTAGCTGTAGAGCTAATGAAGACTTTGTTCACCGTGACTTATCCATGCTCCAACACAGCTCAATTTTTGAGTTTTTACATTCCCCACATACTTGATGTGTTTCTTTCCCACCTCTTTCCGTTTTTCATATTCGCCCTCCCTCAAGGGCCGCTCTTCAACACTGTCGTAGGCCTCGATTACAAGTATGCTCCCACTCTTGTTCCGGGTATATAGCCGAGTGCTTCTGCAGCTAATGCTCGTCTACCCTCTCTGTCTGTCTGTTCTTCCTCTCTCGCTCTCCCAGGGTATGGTGGGATAATGTGGAAGAGAGTTTCTGCATGGAGATGAGGATGCTGAAGCCAGTGCAGTGTGGGAGAAGCCGCTCTTAGAAGAGGGTGCCATATGGTCATGGGGCCATCTTCTGAGCTGAATCCAGGTATTTCCGGAGTGTTGAGGGTAGAGGAAGGAATAGATTGTAAACGTCTGAAATGTTTCAAACGTCAGGCCATTGGTTTCTCAGCAGGGGCATGCTCGTATAGTAGTGTATTCACTCTCTGTCCTAAACGACTTGTTGGAGCTCCTGCCACCCCCCCCCCTCCCCAAGGGCAGTAGACAGGTCTGTTTCTGTGTTTGGAGTTTTACTCGCTACGGGTTGGTTTGGGACTGTTTTGCGAGGGTTTGTGGCTTGCAGGACCGTTTAACATGGCATAAAAGACCTTCATAGACGAACACACAATGGGGAGCGGGTATAACAGAAAAGGCAGGAGCATGGGTCCCTTTAATAGACCTCTGCGTCGGTTCGATGCACCGAGCACCACATGCGCTTAGCAAACAGNGAACATCCAGGTGCTCTTTTGCAAACTTCAAACGTGCAGCAATGTTTTTTCTGGACAGCAGTGGCTTCCTCCATTTTATGACCAACTTATGCAGAAATCCAGGTAATTCCAAAGGGTTCTTGCAACTGTATATACCCAACCCACCATGGCAATAACCATGTACATACTTCAGCATCAGTGAGATTTGGACATTACGAAGTGGTGACACACAGTCTGCTCACCTGCGCTGGTCTGTACTGAGCTCCTGTTTATTTCACAGTGCCTGCCACCAAAGTGTTCAGTGCATTCACATTTGTACTTTCCTATGTAGTGGAAACATGTCCCCCCATTCAGACAGGGGCTGGAGGCACAGGGGTCTGGCTTCCCTGCAAGAAAACATACAATGAGAAAGAATTATTATTAATAATTGTAATTTGCATAGCATCTGTCTTGCAAAAAAAAAAGCAGCCCTACGTGCTTTACCAGACATTACAACCAGGTGTTAAATTGGGCCGGGGCTGTCCATAAGACGATGCTCTGACTATATATAAGGTCGTTGTGTTGTCTTTACTTTAAAATAGCAGATCTTTGTGACCGGATATCTTTTTTCGGCTTAGTGAGCGTGTGTCTCTGTTTGGAGCTGCAGCTCCTCCGTGTAAAGAGTCTGCATTGTGTGTGTGTGTGTGTGTGTGTGTGTGTGTGTGTGTGTGTGTGTGTGTGTGTGTGTGTGTGTGTGTGTGCGCGGAGCCCATTTCCTACACCATGCCAAATGTATGTGTGTGCATAGAGCTAAAGAGTTATGATGGGTCATAATATCACAGAACTTGGTGATGATTAAATCGTTTACAGTGAGATTTACTCACATACTTTTGGCCATACTCGCGCAGCCCTACAAATGAACTGACATTTCCACACAAATGTTTTTTAGCAAGTGTGCAGAGCAATGTTGATTTAAAAAAGCAATTTGAAAGTTGGATATTTGTAAACCTTTTTTTGTGTATATATTAATAATTTAAGATGTAAATTAATTCCAGTTTCTTTGTAGTACTTTCTATTTGTATTGTGTTATTTGGTGGCATCAATGTGTGCATTTGATACAGATAATGGAGCAGTTACTTTAGGGCCTCATATAGCCCTTAAGGTCAAATCATGAGATCCTCGACCTCGACCAAAACAAAAGACATCAAAAAGTGCATTTTGCATAATAGGTGACCTTTAAAGCAACAACACTAATATAATTAGTTTTATGTTATATTATAGGAGGGCCTTGCTAGCTTAGTGTTTACAGTGCACATCATGGAAGCATTCTGAATTAACTGTAAGTTTTATTATGAAACCTGGCAAATTCCTGACTAAACATAGTCACATTTTGATGATGTTACTAAGGTGACCTTAAAATAGGATGGTTCATAAAATCACTCTTCTCTCAGATGTATAACTTGTGTCTCACTCTATTTGTATTATCATCATATTATCAGCATTCAAAGTACTGCTGTTGCCTGTTGATTAGATTGCTTGCCATGCATTTCAACCTAAATAGCTTTGGCACAAAAAATTTTTTTGGATTGACTACCAAATGTTTTATTGTTACTTGAGGGTGGCACTCACCCACTTCACAATGTTTCCCAGTGAATCTGTAAGGACACACACATCTGTAGCTCCCTGCTTCCTCCTTGCAGGAGCCTCCGTTGCGGCAGGGAGCAGAAGCACAGGTATTGAGTCTGACTGGAAAGAGACAGGGAAGAGAAACGGGAATCCTTGAAGCAGAAAAACTTCTCTAGCTTTTAATCACTCAAAAATGAATCTGTTGGAGTAGATGCAATTCAAGTCAAAATACAAGAAAATAGCTCAGTAGTCAAGTAGGATTGATCATTGTAATATTTCAAGAAGCATTGTGGGTAATGACATTTTCCCTCATGCATTAAAACCAGTTGTTTAAAGTAACTAAGTACAATTATTGAGTACTGTAATTCAAATTTTTGAGGTACTTGTACTTTACTCAAGTACTTAAATGTTTTCCTACTTGGTACTTTTACCCAACTACGTTTGTTCAGTACCTTTAGTTACTTTGCACATTTCGATTAATAATTAGAAATATAATCAACACTTAAATAACTTGAGTTCCACCTGGAGTAAATCCACAAGCTACCCTGCAGTATACAAAGTCATTCAAACTAGCTGCACCTTTACCAGCTTTGAGAACACTTTCATGATCAATCATTATAAAACATATCATATCTATTATTCTGATATGGACCAATCTGCACAATCACTACTTTTACTTTTGGCACTTAAAGTATATCTTGCGAATACCTTTGTACTGTAACTTGAGTAACATTTTGAATGCAGTAAATGTACTTGTTTTCCTACACTCTGGCACTTCTACCTTTACTTGGGTTTCTTAGTACTTCTCCTACCTCTGATTAAAGCTGGGTTTGAGTAATGTTTTGATAAAGGCACGTCATCAGATCATGTGGTGTTACTTTTCTACGGTTTTATCAATGATGCTACCTTTCTCACAGTGCTTCCCCCAGTATCCGTATTTGCACTCGCAGGTGTAGCCTCCATCCCGCTCGTAGCAGTATCCTCCATTCAGACACGGGGAGGAGTCACAGACCGATCGGGGCTGTACTGAAAAACATAACGAGACTTGACTGTGTTCCATTGCACTGGGAAATGTTAAAACCACTTTAATTTGTTCAAGCATGTAACTTTGATGGAATAAAGAATTGTCATTTTCTGGATCAAATACAAAATCTCCTCATAGCACTTAGCAACAGCATGAATTATGTAGATGGTAAACTGTGTGAAACCAGCTGCTAATGCAGTGACACATAAGTGCCTGGGGCTCTTACCATAGGGGTATAAGTCCTTAGGATCCAGCTCTGCTGCACTGGTCTGACATGTGCACAGGTAGGCTCCTCCGTACTCCAAACAGGGACCTCCATCAGGACACGTCCTGCTGTGGCTGCACGGCGTCTGAGTTACTTCTGGGAGGAAGGCATTGTGAATGACAGCTTCACAATTTCTAATTTCTGAACAGTGACTCACTTTTTCAGAGAAAAGATTCAAAGAAACTCTGAGATTTTAGTGGAATTTTTAAGTAAGTAAGCATATGGCTTCTATCTGCAAAGTTGGATGAGATGAGAATGATCAAAGTGACATGATGTGGTTCTTTGAAGAAAAAAACATGAAATGTACTTTTATTTAAAATTGTTTTTGTTAGTAATATTTAAGTGTTTATCCCTTAAATCTCAGTATATCTATATATCTGGGATTTCATTTTAATCTCAGAGAATATAAGAATTTTCTTATCTTTGAATACAACTTTAATCTTGGAAGTATTCATATTTATTTTCTGCCTTTTCTCCTAGATAAAAAAAAAGCCTGAATACACTGCTGTATGTGAGAAACCTGATAGAATTATAGGTATCATACTCACCAAACTGACAGTAGAGTCCTGTGTAGCCTGACTGGCATTCACAAGTCCCATTGATATCCACACACACACCCCCATTCTGGCACAGGCATTCCTCTGCAGACACAGGAAGAGAGACAGTGTGTGAGTGTGTGGAAAGTTTGCTCCAGCTACTTGAAAGCAACTACTTAAACTATGTACATTTTTCAGTGTTGGAAAGTCTAAATATAGGCAAAAGGTATAAAGTTCAATATGTGTTCCACATGCTAACAGCTTCCATCTGCTGTACTGTAAACCATGTATTGATTTGCTGTTATTTCTCTTTGCCTAATCTTTTTCCAACAAAGTTCACAGCAGCAGAAGATTACCAGTCAACACGCTGCACATCCGCTCTGTACAAATTGTAGAATGTTTTTGTTTTCCTTGACTTCCTAATTGCAGCAGTGGATCAAAGCCAAGGCCGTATCACAGCTAAACCTTTGAAGTCCCGGTAGCTCGGTGGAGGGTATTATCTTTCTGATGATATGGAGCGTATTTTGTGACCAAAAAGGTTTGGCCCTGAGGGCAATTCATGGATTGTTAATTTACAAGAGCCACTTTCATTGGCCACCTGTGCGGCCCGGCCCTTTGATCTGAGAGCCTGATTAGGCACTTCTGAGTCCCGCTACTTTCTCTTCCTTGGAGGATCTTGCTCCTTTTTCCACTGTGCCTTCCAAGTGAGCCAGGCAGGAAAGTATTTGGGAGATTTAGAGCCTATATAAGCACTGATAGTTATTTCAGCTCAATGGTTAGAAGAATCATGCATTTGCAATAGCTCAAATACTTTTAGAGAGCTTTTGGTGGGAGAAAAAAATAAAGTTTTGCATCCACTGCTATCAGAGGGTCGACACTCACTCGTAATGGGAGCCTGAATTAACTCAAAATGGCTCACTAGGTATTTCATAAAATCAATGTACTGTGATACAGAAATTACACTTAATAACATGTCCTTATATGCATTTCTTAAAGGAAGGTGTAAAGCATTAGCTGTTGATGATATTTTTGTACATATTTTGTGTTTAAATTGCCCCATAGTTATGCAAGTAACAGCTGTGCTTCAAACAATAGTGTGGTGCAATGGCTAGCTTTCAGAGAAGCCAGTAGCGGTGTGGAAGCATGCATAATGCATCAGCTCAATCTGAAGAAATGACCTGAATACCAAAGAGCAGCTTTGACTCATAAAGAGGCCTTTTTAAGTCTAGACAAAGCACTTCCTCTTGTTGCTAAACTAATAAAATGTGCTATAAAACAATTATTCACAACATCAAGCGACTGGTTCCCGTAGTAAACTGGGCGAGGCTGTGTCAGTTTTGATAATTACAATAACCCATCATCACAGCAGCCTCTTACAGGGCACAGCTCCAAATTCCTGTGGGTTCGCACAGCTCCTCTTGAAATAACTCTGCTGCTACCTGCCCAGCCGCTGCAGAGAGTTCAGTACCTTCACACTCGTCCCCGTAGAAGCCTGGAGCACATGTGCAGATGTGGATTCCCGAGCTAGTGTTTTCACAAATCCAGTTCTTTTCACAATTTGCATTGCCACATAAGCCTGCAAATGAAAAAAACATGACAGGTTGAGGTGTAACAATCAAACTGCATGCATTTGTTTTTTTTCTTAAACTGTAGCTGTACATGCTTTTACCTGTTTGGTTTTCTGGCTCGGTTGAATTAACCTGAAGCACCACCAGTTCTAAGAGAGGAACATAAGCACGTCCTTTAAAGGGTTGTTCAAAAAACAAAACATCATTCCTTACCTCTGGAGGTATTTTGAGATGTGTTTGCCCAGCTTGGGAGATACCTTGCTCTGAAATATATGCTGGCAGGACCAATGCAATGAAAGTGAATGGAATAAGGTTTAAGGATTGAAAAATTACATTTCAAAACAAGATGTGAAAAATTATCTCTGGAATCATGTATGTCCCTTTTTACTGCAGGTGTCTTTGAAAACTGTGAATTTCCTTTCACCTCTAATGTACAGGGTTTGCAGAAGCAATCTCAAATCTCAAAACCTGAGCATATTTACACAAATCATGTGCATGGCTAGATACCTTTAAACCAGGGGTAAGACAACAACATCTTGCTTTTTTAACGTCTATATGACAACGCTATATTAAAAATGTATCACCTCTTTATAACAAATTAGGCATATCAATTGAACAAAGACCCTGGTGCTCAAAAAAAGCACTTCGGGAGGAGGACATTCGTTCAATATTTGATTATGATTGGTTAATTTGGACATTCTGTGGTCTGCTATGGAGATGGCTTGATAAGAGTTAGCTGTTGCTTAGGATGCTCTGATGAAGGTATCATGTCAGCAGAAAGAAGTCTGAAATAGACACGCATACAAAGATAGTATGGCTCTGACAGTATTACAAGACTTGTTCATGGAAAAGAACATGTGAACAGACTTGGACAGTTACGGCCCCTACACACGGCGGCGTGCGTTGTCGCTTGCCGGCTGGGGGGGCTGAAACTCGACCAACAGCCAATCACATGAATCTCTCGCCCCAGACACACAAGATTGGCTAGAGCTTGCACTGGCACATAATTCGATTGGCTGACGCCTCCGTCGAGGCGTCAAAAGTAGAACATTGCTCTACTTTTGCAGCGAGCACCGCGAGAGAAGCTACGCTTTACTCCCACAATGTAGTTCGGCGAATCGTGACGTCACCCCATTCAAAGTGAATGGGCAGAAGCGTTGAAGCGGCAACGCACACCGCCGTGTGTAGGGGCCCTGTTTCAAAAGTGACTGTGACGACCCCTCCACACCACGTGGGGTGCCGTCTGGTTGTGGGTGTGCTTTGTGGGTGTTCACAGGTTCATGTGCTGATGAGCCGCACCTGTGGGAGGATACCTGCCTGATGATCTAAACCTGGAAAGGAAAAGGATATAGGAGGAGCCCAGCCGTTACGTCGCTCTCACTCCTTTGGGCACTCACTCCGTGCCAGCCTCGGGGACCTGTGGCTGGTTCTTTTCACTACATTGGTTATTGAGAATAAACAATTGTTATTTTCTTACCCTTCGTCTCGCCTCCTTGCTTTTTGTTGCAGCCCAGGAGCCGGGTTGTAACAGTGACCAACATGTGATCAGCTGATTTTCAGACAGGTTTTTATATAAATGGATCAGGACAAAAAGAGAGGGGATCCACCTATATAAAAACCTGTCTGAAAATCAGCTGATCAGATGTTGGTCACTTTGTGGTGTCACAATGTTTTTTGGGTTGAGCAACCATTAGCCAAAAACCAACCATGGTAACCCCCGCCCACCATATCAGCTCCTAGATCACCATTGTGTTTTTTTAACCAATCACTTCTTAGAAGGGCGCGGCCAGCAGCAGCAGCAGCAGCAGCAGCTCATTAGCATGTAGAAGCTACAGACACAGAATCAGCCCTTTTGGAACAGGGCTGAAACAGAGGGGTTTATGTCATGCTACAATGATCTGTTTGGTGTTTTACCCTAAATAATAAACTTGACTTTAAGTCACCTGTTTCACAGAGTGTTCCAGTGAAGGCAGCGGGGCAAACACAGGTGAAGTTGGCCACCAGATCCATGCACTCTCCTCCGTTCAGACACGGCTGTGACTCACATTCGTTCATATCTGAAGGATGCACAAAAGTCAGTTAATCAGAAGTATATCTGCTGTTGATTCATTTTTAATATTCTGATTTTTCAATCTTCACATTGAAAAGCAAGCCCTGGTTGTGTAAGACATTGAGCTGGATTAAAAGCATTGAACTTCCCTTCTGAAGGCATAATTTCACTGACCAGGTGTCTGGTATTAACAGTAAATCCTGTCTCATGTAGATACAAGGATTCATGAACTGTGCAGGGCCTGGTCATTCAATTCCCCTCTGGGATCAAGTTTCATCCACAAATCAATCACAAAGAGATCCAGATTAGTAAATGTCTTTGTACAGACCGACCTGACTTCAGAGAGCTTTATCCGCTTTCTCACTATGGTTTCATTGCTAGATTGTGTGACCCAAAGGAAAAAAATGAATTCAACCATAACCTCAATTTGGACCCGTTTGTCTAGGTAGACTGGGGAACTCTCTGGATAAACACATCTGCCAGAAGGACTGAGTTTGATGTAGAAAGCAGCAGAAAATATTTCCTGTGAAAAACGCCACTCACCTTTCTCACAGAGGACACTAGTGTAACCCGGTTCACAAACACAGGTGAAAGTGCCAGCGCCCTGCACACACAGCGCGTCGTTGAGGCATGGTCTGTCTTTGCACTCGTCAATGTCTGTAACACACACACACGCACGCACGCACGCACGCACGCACGCACGCACGCACGCACGCACGCACGCACGCACGCACGCACGCACAACCCCAAATCAATCTGTCAGT